AGTGCAGCCTTGTGCATTTTCAATCATTGTCATCAAAATCTTAGCCAAAATGTACATCAGAAAATACTTACAGAGTACACTGTTATATTGACAAGATGGCTAAACATTTTGACTTGCTTGTTCATAAACAAGACACAAGGACTTGTCGTTCTGATGGCACTGACAAGTTTAATGACATAAAGATTTGCTTTAGAGAGATAGACTAAGGATTTTGAGCAAGTTATGGGCTTTTGCAGGTAATCCACTGTGTTGTGCTGTTTGTACTACCTGTTTCGAGAAATGCACTTACTGTTTTGCAAATGTTAAGGATGATTCGAGAAATGCACCAAAGCGACTGAGAAAAACTGTAATGTCAGTATTAGAAGCACAAGTTTATGCCCCGTTGACAGCTGTTGATCTTTTTTATGAGTGTTACACATTAGGTGGTTGATTCCATAAATTACATCTTACTTTAATCACAATAGAATTCCAATTTCCACAATTTGTCTTACCATGCATATTGACCTGACTACCCTTCTAAAATTGGAAATCGGTTACAGGATAGTCACTAATGACAGTAATCCACAGCTGGACTGCAACCAGCTCATTATAAATAACTGGGTGTGTCTCAGAGCCTGAGGTGCATGTAATAAAGACATAACAGACTGATCTGCAAAGAGTTTGACTTTATTTCATATCAACCACGCTTGTTTTTTGTTTTTTAAGAAATCCCTGGAATTTATACAGATGATATGTACAGAGGTTCAACTTCAGCCATTCGGTTTTCTTGCATGCATTTGATTTGTTATAAAATACAAAAAGCTTATATGCATACATTTGAAATTTCTTGGCAGTGTAGTATTTAGACATGACTCATGTTTCTCCGTTTTCTTCACCAATACAGATTCTGTAGCGTCAGCACCACTACAGTATCTGTAGAGGTGCCGACTTCTCTATGTTGCAGAAGTCAGCACGTTCACTGCAGGTGTGGTAAAGGGAGTGTCTCTTAAAAGTAAAATGTACATTCCTACTCCTCAAAAACAAACAGACTTGCTCCCAGGCCTCATAAAATATCTTCCCGGAAACCTATTTTAAATCTGTAACACCAAAAAGACCACTATGTCCTCAGATGATAAGCTTTTTAAAAGACAGGTTCACATTTTTTCAAGCCTGTGTTACTCTTTCTTATGTATATTGAGTTATCAGTCACTACCATCATTCCTGCAGTCCATGCCGGCGCTGACAAAATTCCTTTTTGATGGGATTCCAGTGTAAGGGATGGGGGACAAAATCCGTTGTTCTCATTCTGCGTAAAAATACTTTCCAAAGTTCAGCCGAAGCTAATACGAGGCTTCAGATGTCTGAATTAGACAAATCAATTGGGTATCTTCTGAAGTTAGTTTTACTACGAAATTACCCCTTTGCGTTACTGTTCCTCTGCCACAGTTCAACAAAGAAACACTGTTCGTGGAAACACAATCAGGGAATTTGTCTGCCTCAGACTGCTGAAGCCTTTTATTGGTTTTGGCTGAATTCTTTTGAAGGATTTCTTCACGGCCAGTATGAAAAGGCAGAACAACTTCAGCCACCAAACACCATGTCAGTGTATTTATGGGCATGTAATGAAATAATAGTGTGTGTGTGTGTGTGTGTGTGTGTGTGTTCATCATTTAGGCTCAATGCCATGAGTTGCATTTGTATATGTCTATAGTGTTAGTATAGTGGCCATAGTAAAGCTTTTGCTCAAACACTGAAGGCTGCGATGAAAGGATGCCTTTGTGATTTGGCACTTGGTTAATTTACAGTAAAAAAAACTTTATGCAGGTAAAACAAGAATAAGGCATCAGTGTGGTGACCTATGATAACATAGCAACACTGCATACAAACAGAAAACAAACAGAAGTCACAGTTGTTCTGCTCTCCAACAGACCCAGATCCATCTCACTTTTCAGGGTGTCAAACACCCACAGGAAACAGCGCACCTATTCTAGTAAGCTGCTAGCTCGCACAGACATGAAAGGAAGGAGGGGGGAAGCTATTACAGATTCATTTGGACACTCAGCTCCAGCATGCATTTGCCAGCATGTGTGTAAATTAATGATGGTAATAAAAGATAAACACTAAAGGCAATTACAAAGAATAAGCACAGGATCAAAACCAAAACAAAACACCATAATATTCACTTGAATAAAAACATGCAGAGATATAACATGCCCAGGCATGGAGTGCGTGATAACATGGACATCATGAAATAAATCTAAAGGGGTGAGTCATGCCACTTACACCAGCCATATAATGAAAGACAGCTGTGGGTTGTTATTTTTACAAGAACAAAGAGCTGTCAGGGCGTGTGATGGTCAAAATACTATCCTCCTAAATTTCTCCCATCACATATTGTGGAAAAACTTTCATACAATGTTTGATCCACAAAATAGGCTCTGTGTGGCATAATTTTTTTTCAACCTTTTGTGATTAATTTAGTGCTAGTAACATGAAAATGGATCACATTTCAAACTTAGTCCCAAAGTGGTTAAACTGTGAGTCATTTAGAAAACTCAAGACAATGTGCAGTATGATACAACAGTGCATACACACGTAGACACTCTTGATACTTTGTAAGCATCAGAAACCAATTTCAACTTTTGATCAGAAAAGAATCTAAACCCCAACATTTGACACAGCAAACCTGAGGTAGGTTACACATGAGTGAAATTTCTTCATTGTCTCTAAACCTGTAACTATAGACAGGCGAAGATCATGAGAAGTTACAATGCTACCTTCTATGATAATGCCTTTGCTGTGTGACTTGTTCGGGTATAGCCAGCCAGCTTCTGCAATGCTAACAATGCACTGTGTGCTACAATTTTGAGTTTATTTCCAGATTTGACATCTGCTTGTGTTTCATAAAACATTTCACATGGTAATAAATGCAGTCAATGTGTTCAGTAGATGCAGCCCACTGTTGTACACTTTAACTGACTTTTTTACTCTAGATATGTATATCCTTTAAAAAGCTGCATGTTTGATGAATACATGCGGAGCATAAAAGATGTCCTGTCTGCAGCAGCAGAAAAGAGTGTAATGGGCAGGTCATCATAACAGTTCATAGGAATTTCCCGCATTAGGAACGGGCATATGAGATTCTGAGAGGATGTGACCATATTTTACACTGGAGGCCTGATAACCTGGAAGACCTGTATTATTTTGTATCTCTGTGGTATCTCTTCTTTGGAAAATGATGGCACAAAGTCATCCATTTTCTATTTCCATTCAGAGAAATCTGAGCTTCTGAGGAAGAATATTTAATATCCACATCTATGTGACACACACGTGACATGTACAATGACACACAAAGAAATAACACGTAAAAGCTGATTCTTACTAGTCATACCAGACTCAGTGAACTAAACCTCAAGTACAAGTCTCTCAGAAGATGGCTGTCTATGTACTGTAACCATAGAGTTGTTTAACATTGATCATCAAGCTCAAACTTAATGCTCCCTCAGTACTGCATCCATTCAGAGCTGTAGCTCATCAGCAAAAAAGCTGCTTATGTAACACAAAATCTAAAACATCCTCTGAAAAACAGAAGAACAAATTAATTGTTAAAAACTTGTGGATTTAAAAAATACAGGTGCATTTTATAAACTTAATAGTGTAATTACATAAAAGTGCAATACCCTTCCTTTAAGGCACAATATGTCATGTTTTTAGATGTTACAGTGCTGTTTAACATGATGATATTTGTGGACTTTCAAGGTGTTTAAAGCTGGAGTGCGGGACTTTTACATATAAATGATCATCCTTTACATTGAAGCCCTCGCCAAACAAGTTCACACGGTGCTGATGAAGCCTATCACCGCCATGCAACTCTCTATGTATTTACAGTATACCAGAGTTTTTAAGTCTAGTGTCTGTGATGTTCCCATGCTGTCGCAGCGGTAATGATGCATTTGGAACCAAAGCAATCAACAGCAAGGACAAACATGGATAACCATTGGTGTGGCTTTTCCTCACTGGAGAGCGTTGAGGGAAGAAAGGGTGCTGATGCCACATTACTGTCTTGGACAGGTTTGTATTTGTCAAATATTTTGAGTAAACTATGTAGCTATTACATTTACTCTATCCAAATAATGGATCACTGTCTTGTAATTTTTGTAACTATGAACTGAACTCTGAAGTCAAGCCTGGGGGGAGCTCACCTGCAGGCATACGTCATGAGCGCACATTAACAGTGTTTGTGTGTTTACTCTCACTGCCAGAGGGGGAGACAGTAGCCTACTGTTGTATTTCAAGGTGTTTCAGCTACACAAACAATACACTAATGTTGGTGTATCAGTAGCATTTAGCTGTGTAGTAGTTTTTGCATCATAATTAGGTATGTCTTCACTAGACATCAACATTTTGTGTCAGCTACAGGCAGCCAAAGCTGAACTAGCAGAGCTTTTGCCACTGGCAGAGGTCATTTAATTGATGCCATATGAACATGTCACTATAATAGAGGTCCATGCAGGCTATGAAGTCTTCAGGTGCATTTTCAAAAACAGTACAGGTCTACTCTGAGTACTCTGATGTACTCTTCATCTGAAAAATGTTGCATGAAATTCTTCTGTTTCATTTGACGAACATTTCTATCCTACACATTTGAGTAGTGTGTTTAAATTAACTTCTGATATAATTAACCCATAATGTGCCTCTCTTCAACATCCGCTATCATTTTTGTTTTTTCACATGTTGGAGACCTACTTTTAAAAAAATGGTGCACCGCAGCTGCCTGAACATGCCAACCAGCTCACAATAAGTTTGATTTTGCCCGTAGGACTAATAATCCTTAAATGCAGATTTAACCCATGGTTAAATTAAACACAGTGCATCTTTATGAGGAGATAACAATTCTGTTTTAACTGTCACATAACTTGAATTTTCAAAAATATACTCTAAAGTAGACCTTTGTGAATTTGATCAACTCTTGCGTAATGTTTGCCACAGAATAATCCTTTTCATGCTGTCAACACTGTTGTCATCTCTAGTGACAAATGGTCTGAAAATATTTATTTTGTATGTGAGTGAAATGTCACACCAGTGTCAACCAATTTCAAATGAAAGCAAGTGAGACTGCTGATACTAATCCGTCTAAAACAGCTGCTTTTAGACCAGGATCAAGTTGTACCACACCTGAACAAGTAGTCAGGGCTAAGATGCACAAAGCAACAACATTTAAATATAAAACAAATGAATAAATACATAAATAATTGAATTTCCCTGAAATAATGCATTTTATCGGAAAGCATATATAGCAGGGCCTGGCAGTAGGATAAGATATTCGTGCCATGTGTGGAAGGTTTGCTAGGGTGACATAGCACCACTAAGCAGCACTGAACCCCTTTCTGATTCAGAGGCGCTTCACTCAAAACCCCCCCACTCACAAACACATAAAAGTATAAACATGTTTCATCTGAGGTTATGCAAAGCAGTAAAATCCTAACTGCTTTGCGTCTAATATGGCAAACACATGCTGTGAGCTCCACAAAAATGGCAAGTTATAATTGGCAATGACTTGAAAGAAAGTATAAAAGCATATTTTTCAAAAACAGAAACCTTTGAATGTACAATGAAAAAAAATGCTACTAAACAGGACCGTCGTGCTTATGGCCACAGCCACGCACATGTTCTCACAGTGGTTTCCCCTGGTGCATGAAGGTTTGTATTGAGAAATAACTTGTACGGAGTTGCACATGATTTACACTAAACCACACTAGAGTTTGAGATGAAAACAGAGCCTTGCATTCTCCCTCAAAAAGCAGTGGGGATGTGATGGTTCAAATGCAACGCTTTCAAATAAGTGAACACTATTTATGAATCAGGTTTGACTGTTGAAGAAGCTACAATAGGGACCTAAGTAAAAAAAAAAAAAAACATGGAAAAACTAAATTCCACAAAAGAGAAACTCATGAGTTCAAGAACCCCGTGAGGTTAGTCAGTGTTTTGTGGCTGCGAGGCCAGTGTGCAGCTTAGTTCTCCTCGGTGAAAGAGTAAAGTTATATGTCTATCATCTCCTCACCGCAAATGTCTCCAATACCAGCATGGATATGTTGCCAGTACTGGCACTTGCATACCCAATAATCACTAAGCATGTTGAGAGGGATGTACAAGTCTTTCTATAGACCCATTGTCTTGTCTGTCTCTCCTTGGCAAGTCCAAACTGTGCAGCTCACATGGGAAACACACCGTCACATTGTTAGCCTGCACACATACAGGATGACCCCAGTAACTAGGATCAGGATACAAGTGAAAATGTGATGGACGAGAAGTGGGTGGCGGCTGACATCATATAAAGAGACAGAGGTTAGACTTCTCCCTCCTATCTCCTGTTTCAGTCAGGCAGAAGCAGACTGCCAAAGACCCACTGCCCACTGGGTCCTCGCCCCGAGGGGCTCTCTGGTCCCTGGCGATTGGGTGTGGGTTTGGGCTGGGGAGGGGGTTTGGCTGGATGACTGTAGGTTGGACGCAGCATTCAGGCTTGTGTCAAATAGCTGACAGTTGTGTTGGCTTCAGTGGAGGCAGATCCAGCAGAGCCTGGACAGTCACACCCACCTTCACCAGACCGCGCTCTTCTAGGATGTGATGGGGCAGACACAGCTTGTCCTGAATTAGCAGAGAGATGTCTTTTGTCAGTTACACAAGAAAGAAGAAGGGTGTGGTTTACATTGCTTCTCTGCTCCCTCATTTTCTCAAGGGTTGGTTCAACCAACTTACAAAAGAAACATACTTTACCACTTGTGATATCTAACCACAGATTTATGCTCTGAGGTTTTGAGATATTCCTCTCAGAGATTTCTATGATATATTCTCATCACTGATTTTCAGATTGTGTTTAATTAAAATACATATAGAATTAAAATAATTGCTAGTTTTTCTTGTACTGAACTTGGCACTCTTTTAAGGATCTTTGTGGTTGCCTAAAGCACATTTATAAGATTCCCTGCACTCTGCAACAATTCTCTATTACACTGATTTTGCATGTCACTTTTTAAAGGACCAGTTCACTCAAAACACCCAAAAACATTTCTTTCTCACCACAAGAAATTCAGATTTATCATAATTACCATGCAGATGTTGTACCAGCAGCATAAATGAAATACCACTGAGCTCCAATCCAATTCTCAGTGACAGATAATACCAATTACATCAAAAGTATGGAAGCAAAATATATCTTAATCTTATATGCAATTGAATAATTGTGAATTAAATCACTACTTTATAGGTTGCAAATAACACTGAATTTATAGCATTACAAAATTTACTTTGAAAAGGGTAATTTCAGGTTGTGCTATGTCAAAATCTAGATTATTTTGTTTTTGTCATTGTTAATAAATTAAGATAGGTCTGATACATTCAAGTGCCTAAACTTAAGTTGGTAATTTTAAAAAATTCTAATTTGAAGATTTGGGCTACTGAGGGTAAGCAATCCAGCCAGAATAAAATTAATCTGATATGAAAGACACCATCAGGTTACATTCTGTCAGACAATGATCTAATCTGAAATTATAAATCCTAAAAGTTTTTGACAAAAACTTGAAATTACCTTCATCAACTTCAGAATTCAAACCACATAAATTCACATGGAGTATTTCACTGGTATACATTTAGTGGTATTTAAATGTCATTTTACATTTCACAATTTCCATAAGTATTTAGTTGCTTATAAAATTTAAATTATTATGGCCTTTTTGGGCTTTCATACAAACTACTAGTGTGGCTCAATGCCACTAGAGGTAAAAAATGTGTGTTTCTGTAAAATGGGTAGTCTGACCCTTAATTAGATTTCTATCAGTAGTTACTGCAGTATGAGACATAAATAAGTGTCTTGTAGTAATAATCTGAATACTTATTTTGAATACTTATTTGTCAGGCATAGCTTTCCATTTGCTATAGGACAAATGTTCCATCAGTTAGAGCCTCAGCTAAATAAATGTGAAAACCAGACCAGTGAGTGTGCATGACAGGACCTGCAAAAAGACTTTAGTACAGTCAGTCATCATTACTGTAGGTTTTCACTGTTGACAGCAGAAACATTAGTTCATAATAATATGAACAAAACAACACAAAGTCAATACATTGTAGTAAGTAACACATGAATGATGAATAGTTATTATTATTACCTGAGGGACACCCATCTTCTTACAGGCATCCAAGAAGTTCTCCACATTCCTACGGCATTTAGCCATGCTAAGCTTTGGCTGGAGGCCAGAATATCAGTCATGTTAGAAAAAAGCAGAACAAACAACAATATTTCATAAAGCTGTAAGGTTATGTAGGTTTTGTAGGCGATAATGCATATAACTTCATCTAATTATTAAATTCACATAAAATGATAAGCTCATTTATTAGGCTATCACATAGATAGAATCTATGATTCTATGGCATTTGTGATTTAAAATGAAAAAGATTCTTTTTGGAGTTTCAGTGTGCTTACCACTGCAGGGGACGGTACATGGATGCTGGCAACAGAGCGAGGACAAATGTGATTGGCTAAATGGCAAAGGACAACCCCGTCCATCAGAGCAGCTCCAACATCTTCTGGCAACAACACCTTCAGTCTGGACTCAATATTCTGCAAATATAATAACAATGGCCTGATGACAGAACTGCCGTCTAACAAAAAAAGCATATTCTTGTAGAAAAAAGAGACATATTTAATTATTTTTATAACATTATTTACATTAAGTCTCCTCTCCAGACACATTTCTGTCCTTTATTTACCAGGAGGGTCCACAAAAGGAAGGCTATACAATGTGAGAAAATCTTAGTTTAAAAGCCTAATGTTGTCAGCTCAACAAAAAGACTTCAAAACTTAAAACAGATAAGAAAACTATGGTCTATTTATTGACTTTTTAATTGGCTATTGGCTCAGTTATAATCATGTGGCCCGAGTATGGAACTTTGGTCACGTGACAACCGTTCAAAGGTGTCTGGTCTCTGGCGTTGAATGTGGATGGCGTCCTTGGTCTTTCTCTAGCTGTTCACTGACCTTTGACCCCTTCACAGTTGATGCTGTGACCGGTTGGATCTTTATTCAAAGACAGCTCATGTTGTCTCATGTTCCAGTACTCTTTTAATCTTACTTAGCTCTAAAGGCATCTAAGGGCATGTGATGATAACTGGGCTATCCCTATGACAACTGAGAAAAACTCTCCTATATATACACACTATAAAAAAGCTCATACATACATGTTATGAATACTTTTTTTTTGGCAAACTACCGTTTCTGACATTTATACTCAACACATCATACTTACTGGATCAGGAACAATCTATATTTAAGCCATAGGCCAATGAGGGAAACACAACGGTAAAATCCTGTTAATATTAATAGACTGTTGCATTACTACTCTTTAGTCTTGTGTTGTTTTGGTGCTGAATGGAGAGCTCCTGCAAAACGTTTTTTTTTTAAATATTTACTGATGCCAATAAAGTGTTTTCATTGTTTACAGAGGTGGTATTATGCTTTTTGGCTTTTCCCCTCTCCTTTATTGAGTTATATACATTTTTTGTGCATGTAACAGGTTTGCAAAGTGAAAAAGCCCAAAGTCCAGCCCAAAGGGAGTTCCCATCTCCCACAGAAAGCTCTGCTCTGAACCGCTTGAAAACAGCTCGTTTGTAGTCCAGCCCTTCACTTCCTTTACTTGTGACGTCACAATGAAAACGCGTCATGAAGCTTGCCAAGCGGCTAGCGGGGTCAGGCACGCCCTCAAACCAAGCTAGTCTGAGCAGAGGCCCTTTGGCTCGACTCGCCTTTGTTTGGTTTTCCATTGTAGAAATGTTGTACCTGTACCTGCTTCCACCTGCGGGTGATGCCTGTGCCAACCCACGGGAGGAGCGTGTGAGGCCGCCCGCTCACAGAGCCCTCTGCTCCCGCCGTCACACAGACCGCTGCAGCAACAACGGCAGAGGAAAACACAGCTGGAAGGTTTTCATACCGCTTATCTGTCTTTACATTCTGAGTAATGTTGAAACGTTTTAACTGAAAAAAGAGAAAGCTGTGTGGATCGCTGGTGTGTGTGTCGCATTGAGCATTATGTCGCGGCAGTTGTGTGTGGCGTCGCTATGACGACCTGCAACGTACTATCTCTGGGTACTTCCTGATATGGAAAACGGAGCAGGGCCGAGTAGAGTCCAGTCTATCGATTTGCGCTATGGTAACATTTTTCGGCAAGGAAGCATAGATCGTCAGAACACCGGCAACAGTTCAACGTTTAGTCCTAAAAGACGATGCAACTCCGACTCTGTTTGGGCCTGGAAATTCACAATCACAACCTGTAAGTATGCTTTATTGGTTGTGAATTATATTTAAAATAAACACGGCAATGTAACTTCACAGACTGTTCAAGTGCGGAGTTGTTGTAAACGTTGGCTAACACAGCTAAAGTTATAACTATAATGCTAATGTTACATGTGAAAGCTACTGAGCAAACGTTCAAATTGTTTGGCCAATTTTTATGTAAAATTTAGTTGAAATATGGTGATTTTTGTTGTGGTTTATTGTTAGATGTGGAACAATGATGTTGTGTGGTTGTGGACTTGTGAGTTACTTATACCATCTGTTACGGTCTCAGTCTGAAGCGGCTTTGATTTGGATCACACTACCTTGTTTCTTACGACCCGCCCTTCTCTGCTTCTGATTGGCTAGTAGTCCTTACCTGGGAACTGCGCACGTGCAACTCCCAACACAGATTTTGTATAAGTAAGATGTATCACTCTGTAGCTCAAGAGCGGAGCGTACAACACAGGGTGAAAAGAGGAGCTGCAGCAATGTGCAATATGAGGAAAAATACGGTGTTTTTTGAAAATTAAACCATGTAAACCTGTTCTGGTACAACCCCTAATTAAGATTTTGAACCGAAAATTAGCATAATACCACCACTTTAAACTTTTACTGAAGACTCACTGTTTTACTTTCTCTCTTTATCCTCCTGGCTATAGTCTCTGTTCCTCTGTGTGTGCCTGATAAAATTGTGCTCTTGTTAATACAATTTTCTCTGCTGCAATGATGATAAATCAAGTGCAGCAGCTGTTTGTTTCCATTTTCCACCTCTAAATGGTAATGCTATAAAACATATTGCCTGAGCCCAAACAAAGGTGTGAAGATTCCCCCTCCCAACCTTATTGTGACCCTTTAGTAAATATGGAGCATAATTTGACTATTCCAAAAGAAGGGCTGCAAATAAACATCACTCCACTGTATAAAATATTTTTGGAGAAAAAGATACATCAAACCTCAGATAACCTGAGGAAAGCCGTCAAATTCGCTGACTGTCAGATGCATGATGAAGACATTTGGTAGGATTTTCATATGTTTCGCAGTAGCCAAAGGCATAACAGAATTATGATAAATGTGTCTTAACATCTTCTTCAACAGTACATACCACAGGGTGTAATTCATCACGGTAGGTGTTGCAATATTGAATATTTGAATCTGTGCACAGTATCTGTCCAAATAGAAAGCCTTTGTTCTTTTACATGAAGGTTGGTTGGCACCATCATCAGCAAATAAATGGTCCTGCAGCTAGTTTAGTCCAATGAATACATCTTGATTTATCTCATAGTGTTTGACATTGTGATCCCCTCAACAAATCTTGGTACTGAGGGTAATCATTTCAGATGGATTTTTTTTTAAGTTAATGGTACCTCTCTGTGATGTTTGAGGTGGTGTTTATATAAAATTCTTCCTTGCTCTCCCATTAAAGAGGTTTGTTGTGCTCTCATCATTGCCTAATGGTGTTTTCTATGAAACTCTGGTCCATGCATGCTGTTTCTTTTCTGAAACCTTCTTGACCTCAATTGTAGTGTTCATTCAGAGCACTTTCCCGAGATGAGAAAGTAGTGCAGTTTCTCACCAGCTTTGACAATGATTTTATTGAGATTCAAAGTTCATTCTTAACCTTGAAACGACTCATCCCAGTCAACGACTGTTTTCAAAGTCTTTTAAGACAACATGGATGATCCATAAACCTTGAAATATTCAGAAAAAATGGAAATGAAATGACTTGTCAACATACGCTCAACGCCCCCTTTTTTAGGTACACCTGTTCAATTGCTTGTTGACACAAATAGCTAATCATGGCAGCAACTCAATGCATTTAGGCGTGTAGACATAGTCATGACAACTTGCTGAGGTCCAAACAGAGCATCAGAATGGGGAGGGAATGGGATTTAAGTGAATTTGAACATTGTGTGGTTGTTGGTGCCAACCTGGGTGGTTTTAGTATTTTGGAAACTGCTGATCTAATGGGATTTTCATGCACAACCGTCTGAATGGTCCGAATAAGAGAAAATATCCAGTGAGCGGCAGTTGTGTGGATGAAAATGCCTTGTTGATGTCAGAGGTCAGAGGAGAATGGGCAGACTGGTTTGACATGACAGAAAGGCAGTAGATCTCTATCTAATAGAGCACCTTTGGGAACGGGAGATTCACTTCATGGTTGTGCAGCCGACAAATCTGCAGCAACTGCATGATGCTATCATGTCAATATAGACCAAAGTCTCTGAGGAATGTTTCCAACACCTTGTTGAAAGTATGCCACAAAGAATTAAGGCAGTATTGAAGGCAAAAGGGGGTCCAACCCAGTACTAGTAAGGTGAGTGTAGAATGTGGCCAACTCCTTATATTGTAAAAAGATGTACATTGAGGGTTTGCTATTAAAGGGAAAGTTTGCTCTATTGTCAGCAGAGATGCTCACAAGTCTTTGAGCTAGAGTCCAAGTCAAGTCTCAAGTCTTTGAGCTAGAGTCCAAGTCAAGTCTCAAGTCTCTGAGCTAGAGTCCAAGTCAAGTCTCAAGTCTCTCGTGGTTATAATGAATGTTGTATCACCTGCTGTGTTCAATCCAGGCTGCTTATAAAACTGCGTAGCTATAAGGAATTCTGTAACTGTAACCTGTTTTTCACTTACAGAGCACAACTATGTAATGTGCAATGCAATTAATGACAGCTTATTAACTACTGTAAGTCAACACCCCCCCCAGACTCTTAAACCCAGTGTAAAACTAACTAAATAAAACTGTAACGTTACATGATCAACATTAAACCTGTAAGTTTTTCACTTACTCAGCACAACCATGTATCCTAATTTACAATGCCTCTACAACTAATGACAGCTTATTAACTACTGTAAGTCAACACCCCCCCAGACTCTCAAACCCATTGTAATGTTATAACTAAATAAAACTGTAACGATGCATGAACAACAATAAACCTGTGACCTGTTTGCAGCCAACGGTAATAATTAACGTGATGGCAGCCAGCGGGACATAAATGATTACGTTAATCGGTCACCACAATCTTGGTAAGTAAACAAACCCTCATTCATCTTTTCATAACGAACGACAGTCGGAGTTAACCTCCTGTAGGTCGTAGCTAATAAGCTTATAAATCTATAATCTAATACTGTTGTTTTTTGTGAACAGTAGGCTACTATGTAGGGTATTATGTAATACCTAAATGTTTGTGATGTTGTGCTGTGTCTCGGTGTTGTACAAAATGTTGTTGTGGAGACTGGTTTTGCTGTGTTTTCTGTTGTACCTAATGATGTTGTTGTGATTGGTTTATTATTGTTGCTTGGTTATTTGTTTGATCCTGCTATCTGACCCTGTCTTGACTACGTCTCACTTGTAAAACAGGTTTTAACCTGCTAAAGCAAGAAGCGAACGTTAGATGGCCAATGCTGAGCTAAACATTTTCACTAACCTCAGGTTACTAACCTATTTTGCATTCAGCACTTCTTTGTTTGGGTCTTGTATGAAGTTTTAAAGCCAAAGTTTATGATGAATGGCTCAGCAGCAAGGTTTCATTGGCTGGCTTTTTAGCTATATCAGATGCATTCAGGTGCAAGTGCAATAGTTTACTACAATTCAATTGATCGACAGGTAGCGGTAATGTACCAGCATATGAAGCAATGTGACAGCAAAGACAATGAAGACGAAGCCTGAAAGCTAGTAAAAACGTATGTAAACAATTACAATACTAAAAACTGCGGCTTTGCATATGTTTTATGAGGAAGGAAATGCACCCAACATGTTTGTTAGACCACACACACACACTGGGTTTTAGTGAGTTACACAGAATGTAAACATGGCTCTTTTGTTTATTTACAAGAAAACTGCATATGGGCCCTGTAAAAACTGCAAAGTTTGGTTCTACAAACAATGTACAGTCAAAGGGAATTGAAGTGGTGACTCATCTGTTACGAGTGACTCCAGACAGGATCAAATACATGGTGACAGGTGAATTTGAAGGAAACAAATCACCAACACCACACTAGAATGGGAATTGTGCATGTTCACACAAGAGCAATTCTGAAATAGATTTATTGAAACACTTGGGGTGATGTGCGATTCTGAAGAAATCCAATACCATGACAAACACTGTAATGTAGAGCGAACAAGGACAAAGCAGGAAATGTAACTAACGTTAGCCAGGCTGTCGGTTAGCAACTGTCACTACAGTGCTAACATCCAGAGAGGACGAGATGGTCCCAGAGCTAGCACAACAGCTCCAGACAGCGACACTCACAACAGCATGTCTTGGCAAACTAGAAAGTAAGTTGAATGTCAGTGGGCAAGTAATTAAATGTTACCCAACACAATCATGGCTGGAACGGCTGGCATGATGCTGTGTGGCTCAGCTTGAGTCACTTTGTTTGTTTCCCTTTTACAGAGCCAGTGCTGTGCGAAACATCAGATTTTCTATTCAGTGCACACACAGAACAGACAGCTAGAGATTTGTTGAAATTGACAATAAGACATCTAAACTTTAAATCATTTTCAGTAATCATCCTGTCATTCGTGTGAACACACTGAAAATAAGAGCCTTTTTCAAAACATATCCTCCTAGACATGGCAGCCCAACAAGTTGTTTTTCTGTGTGTGTTACATTATTAGTAGCAAGTACTCGTCTTAGAAACTACTAGGGGTGCGGATGGAACAGTGGATAAGACGCCTGCCTTTGGTGTGAGAGACCCGGGTT